ATCGAGGCGATGGTGAAGGGCAAGCTAGTGGGCTTGCTGCCATCTGCTTTAAAAAGAACATAGAAGGACCGAAGTCAACGGTGATTTAGAGCAAGTGACACTAAGGTCGATGGACTTGAAGTCTATGTGGTGGTTTGGGTGATCATCCACATCATCTATGGAGATCAAGCGAAAAGATTCTTTGTTTATCTTAAGTGGCTTGGTGAATACATCGGACAACATTTTCCTTGCGGGCATCAAATTTGTGTCATTTGGATTTATGATCACTTGTAAAGCAAATTATAACGTAAATCCTTCGATATGACTTATGAAACATAGGGTGTTTCATTTTCTTTTCATTGATTACCAAGCTATGAGGTGTGTAGAGAAGATTAAGATAATGGATTTAGGTTTGATAGCCGTACTATTAAAAGGGGCAAACATGTTTTGCATTACGGTTATCTAGTGCCACTTGTGAGCTCTAACATCAAGATATGTTTAGCGGTGAGTGACGGAAAAGTTAAAACCTTTGTGAAAAGTGTGATGAAAGCTAACCGGTGGCGAAGTTGAAACGATCATCTTGCGGGAGATCGTCTCTTGGTGTTGGCTATCTTTGAGAAAGGTTTTGAGAGCACTAGTACTATCGTTGAACTGCTTTGGAACTCTCCATTTGAGGTAATGGAGTTGTCATCCAAAGTCGAGGAGGTGATGCGCTTGAGAGAGTGTTTTACGGGCAGATGCAGCATCGCCCCTTAGCGGCAGATATCCGTCTAGCCATTCCCATAAAACCAAACAGATTGAAACAATCTGTTGGCGGTCATCACATGAATGGCGGACAGTCCGCGCTGAGTGGCAAACAATCCATCGATCATTTTCTCCGACGACAAAGCATATATCTGTTGTTGATTGTTTTGTTCTTGGGCTGACTTGATAACGGCGGATGGTCCATGCCACAGGGCGAATAAATCCGCCGACTATCAAGTGTCTTGAAAAGAGTTGTTGTTGTTGTGTTGATATGGATTTGATTGTTAGGCTGTGAAACAACAAACATAAACAGTCCGGGCCCCGTGGGCGATAATATCCGTTTTTAGGATTTCAAATCCAATGGCTAGTTGAGTGAACGGCGGACAGTCTGGGGCTTGTACTGCGAACTGTCCGAGAATGTCGAATCAGCATAGTAACGGCTAGTTTTTGGGTGCTCCTCTATATATAGTGGGGTGCCCTGTTGGTGAGGGCTCTCTTGGCCATTCTAACAACATACTCTTTGGGAGAGCACTTTTCTAGCACCTCCTCTCATACTCCTTGCTTGAGGGCAACATTTGGAGAGTGAGTGTGCTCCACTAGTGCGAATCTTTGCATGAGAGATTGCTTGTGGCACTAGGTGGTCGTTGTGCGGGCGTGGTTGCTTGCTACTCTTGGAGCTTGCCGGTTCCTAGACGGCTTGATGATTGTGTCTCCGTGAAGTACGCAAGAAGGATTGTGCGGTGCTCCGGAGTTGTCTTTGTGAGGGGCTATTGAGCTCATCCCCGCCGGAGGAAGGCAAAGAGCATCTCTAGTAAATTTGAGGCTTGTGAGAGTGTCTAGTTGATTTGGCCGGCTCAAAGTTTAGTGCTCACGTGGAGCCTACCTAGTGAGGTAGTCCTCCGTGAAAGCTTGGGAGCTTGGAACTAACAAGAGGAGGCGGCAATCCTAGAACTCGCCTCAACGTATACTAAGTGACCGGCAAGTCAACCGAACCACATAAACCGGCAAGTCACATAAAAACATCGTCTCTCATCCTCTACATTGTGGTTTGCTTATCCCAACACAAGTTTACTTCATTGCAATATATATTGAGCTTGTGCTTTTTACCGCCTTTATCACTAGCATGTGTAGGAGCTTCGGAGCGCTTTCTCTTGTACTAGTTGCTTAGCTTGTTTGATCTTGCCAACTAGAATTGTTTAGGAAAACTCTCACTAGCTTGGTACCATGGTTGCTCTCTAGCTCAATCTTTTAGCAAATTTAGATAGAGGGGTGTAGTTGAGGCAAGACCGCATTTTCACTTATGCATCTAAATTGGTTAGCTCTTGCGATTATTTTTTAGAAATGACTATTCACCCCCCCTTAGTCGGCCATCTCGACCCTACAAAGACCCAACAAACTAGCTAGACAACTGGTGCTAAAGAGGTGTTGGTTGACAAAGCCTTCTAGCAAACCAACTTGCAACTAGTTTTGCGGAGGCGCTAGTCGACTAAGCCTCCGAACAAACCATCCACTTAGACACTGCCAATGAGCGGCTGTTTGGCGAAGGCATAACACTATGTTAGTTGACGACCCTTATGTGGAAGATGGTGTAGACCTCTGCACGATGTGGAGCAAGAATTCCTTGATGCAAGAATTTTTAAAAAGTTTGAGCGAACAAAATGTCAAAAATGTCAAAATTGAAACATGGTCTTATGCTGTTGTAGCTGAGGGCAAGTAATGTTGGTCCAATGCTAGCTTCATTCAAGGAGCTACATGACAACACTTACCTATCCAAGAAAATGATATGTCCAATGGGATACAAGTACGAAAAATCCATACATGTCATAGAAATTGTATATTTGTATCATGTCGATTATATGGACTTTGATGCATGTCCTGTGTACATAGCTACATGGTACAAGTACAAGATGGTCAAGGAAAAGGTGGAGAATGGCGAGCCACAGAAGAAACCACCCATGAAGCCATGAAGGTTGTGTCATATTTCCCTATAATTCCTCATTTGCGGAATTGGATCAAGGAGACAACAAGATACTGTGGCATGTGAAGAGCAAATACTAAAAATTTTCAAAAGCAAAATATACTTCCCCTGATCGTAAATGTAACTAAATCCATCTAGTAGGTTTATCTTAAGTCAATTTTTAAAACTATGGTCATCAGTTTCTAAAATTATATATAGATTGACAAAACAAGATTGACATTAATAGGTTTATATAGAAAACCATTGTAATATAAAGTTAGCTTAATTAAAATAACTTATATTTTGATATATGCTACATGCACTACCGGAAACCGGCACTTTGCCGAGTGCCGGAGGCTTTGCCGAGTGTATTTTATCGGGCACTCGGCAAAGACGATCTTTGCCGAGTGCCAAATAAAATACACTCGGCAAAAAAAAACACTCGACAAAGATGGCTTTGCCGAGTGCCTTTTTCGGCACTCGGCAAAGATGTATTTTGTCGAGTGCCATTTTTCGGCACTCGGCAAAATGCGTCTTTGCCGAGTGCCTTTTTTCTGGCACTCGGCAAAGATGTATTTTGCCGAGTGCATTTTTTTGGCTCTCAGCAAATCATTTTTTTAAAGCAATTTTTGAGGCCCTAAATGAATTCAAATGAAAAACTTTTCAACTATAAAGTTGTATAACTTCTCAAGATCTACAAAGTTTATTTTGGTCATTTCTTCATTTGACAAAGCAACAATAACGTTGTTCATAAAATCTACATATCTCTCATATTAGTTTCATGAAAATAGAAGAAAGATATATAAGATTTGTGAACAGTATTACTACCACTATGTCGGATGAACAAATGACCAAAATAAACTTTATAGATCTTGAGAAGTTATGAAATTTTGTAGTTGGCAACATTTTAATTTGAAATCATCTTGTCATGCAAAAACGACGTTTGAATTTGAAAATTTTAAAATTTGAATTTTTCAAAAAACCTCGGATGGAAAAACTTCCTAAATGAAAATTGTAGATCTCCAAAAGTTATGAAACTATGTAGTTGACAACTTTTTGATTTGAAATCATCTTATCATGCAAAACTACGTTTGAATCTCTCAAATTTGAAATTCGATTTTTCAAACGACCTCGGATGGAAAAACTTCCTTAATGAAAATTGTAGATCTCGAAAAGTTATGAAACTTTGTAGTTGACCACTTTTTTATTTGAATTTGTTTAGGACCTCAAACAAGTAATTTACTCTAGGTTTAGTATAATATATGAGAACAGATAACGGAATCTAGACACAAGTCACAGTGTAGTGTAGTGGTAGAGCAGCAGACACGCGAGGGAGAGGTCGTGAGTTTAAATCCTGCCGGCCGCGTTAGCCATGAATTTTGCGCAAAAAAAGTAGCGACTTCGATGGAGACGGGCGAAAAAAAAATTGCTATTCGTTTTGGGGTTTTTTCGTATTTTCATTTTGCCGAGTGCTTTTCCGGCACTCGGCAAAGCCTTTGCCGAGTACTCGACAAAGGCTTCTTTGTCGATTAATTTTTTATCGAGTGCCCTTTGCCGAGTGCGGCACTCAGCAAAGGCTTTGCCGAGTGCCGGCACAGAGAGGGTGTCCGGTAGTGATGTGGAAGTATTTTTTTTTTTGAACATCTATTTGTGAGTGTACCCATCAAGTTTGTAATTAAAAATAACCATCTAAATATGCATAGGAAAGGATTGATAGAGTCATTATTACACAAGTGTATGAGTTATATAGTATTAAGATCGTTGATGTCACCAAAACTACATGATTTGCCATCCCAACTAACGTAAATTAACCTGTTCTTCTCGCTACTCGCATATAGAACAGATATTAAATAATGGAAGTACTTACATGTTTGCATCCACAGATCAACCCAAGAAAATGGGACCAAAATTCCATTAATGGACAAAGCAGAAACGACGAAACAGGAGCAAAGGGCCCGAAGATAAAGTCAAATACATGCATGCATGCATATAATATGCTGAGCTAATCACATAATAATTCACATTTTTATTTAACCACATGGCCCGTTCATCTCTCTGTCCCTCTTTCTGCAGTATTTACTCATTAACAACATCGTATATGTACTTTACATGTGTGTTAAACACTTCAAATGTAATCACCACAAACACGAACTTATCCGCTGCTCATCAACACAGCAACATCAGAATATAATAAGAAGGGGAAAAAATAACACCAGATGAAATGCCGGTAGTAATTTGCATCTGCAGGCTATATAAACAGTAATTAATTCACACTGATGAACTGTTTCTTCTTCCGTGGGTTCTTGCACTGAGTGATGGATTAGCACCAGTTGCTTAGCCCGTGGACGTCGAAGTGCACCGGGACGTCATCCTTGCCGCCGTAGACACACTGCCCCGCCGCCTGCAGGGCGCCTTGCTGACTCGCGGCGGCCTGGAAGGCACTGTCGAAGTACTCCGACCACCTGAGCTCGTCCAGCGCGCCGGCGTAGCAGCTGTCGACGTGGCCGGCATCAGCCACCGCGCTTGCCCCGAGCTCCATCCATGGGAGGCTGCCGCCGGTGATGTTGGTGTTGCAGTGTTCGGCCTCTGCCATTGAGGTCAGCGCGCTGGAACTGGAGGCCGACGGGACGACCGGCGCCGGCGGGATGGAGCCGCAGTGCTGCTGCTGCAGCGCGTCCATGTCGAAGCAGGCCCCCTGAAAGTAGCACGGCCTTGACAGCGACGAAGACGGCACCCCGTCGCCGGCGATGGGCCAGTCCAACTCCACCGGGAGCTTCGTCACGCCGTCCAGCATTGATGGCCCCTCGAACGGCGCCGCCTGGATTGGTGTAGTAGTCGGGATGAGATCGACGTCCCCGAACACCGCGCCGCGGCTGACGGTGGTGGTGGCAGTCGCCGCCGACGCGGCAGGCTCGGTGAGCGGTTGGTGGGTAGCGGGGTCGATGCCGCGCTCCCTGAGCCTCTTCTTGATGTACGAGTTCCAGAAGTTCTTGACCTCGTTGTCCGTCCGGCCAGGCAGCTGCGCCGCAATCTGAGACCACCTGGCCATTAATCACCATGCACACGCAGAGTTATTAGATTCTCGCTAGCTCCATTGTTGCTCGCCATGCATGTAAGTATATTTGCAACTAACATCGAAGAGCTAGCATAGTTGTTCGCAGACAATGCAAAGATGCATGAAAAAAGCTTACTTGTTTCCCAGCAAGGAGTGGAGGTGTATGATGAGGTCCTCCTCCTCTTGTGAGAATGTTCCCCTCTTGAGGTCTGGCCTCAGGTAGTTTATCCACCTCAGCCTGCAGCTCTTGCCACACCTGTCGAGGCCTGAACAGAAACAGATCGATTAGCCAAACAACACTGTAATGCACCACAGTTTACAACCAAGTACTGAACTTCTGCCGCTGCTGAAGGTCGCTGCTAGCTAGTAATTCTGTCTGTGCATCTATATATACATGCAAGCAAATGATACCTGCAAGCTTGGGCACGGAGCTCCAGCAGCCGTGGCCGTACTGGGCAATGTGGTTCATGAGCTTCTCGTCCTCCTCGGGGGACCAGAGCCCTCTCCTCAGCTTCTTCTTGTGGCAGCACGACTGCTTCGCCATGCCGGGCAACCCGTGGATGTCGTCGATCGATCGGTTGGCCTCACTCTGAGGTGCGCGCCAACCGATCCTTGACGATGATCGATCGTTATATGGAAGGCGATCGAGATATGATGGTGGCAGGCTAAGGGCCGAATTGAAGAGAGGCCAGGAGAAAGAGAGATATAAAAGAGATGCCAGCACCAGCAGCCAGCAGCCAGCCGGTGTGTGCCGTGCCGAGGAGCTGCCTGGAGCGAAGAGCGAGAGGAAGAGGGAGGTCGCTCTCAGGTAGGTGCAGGTACAGTGCGGTGCCGCTTGGCCTGGCTGCCTTTACAAGTGGCCGGAGCAATAGCGCTAGCGCGCGCCCACACTTTGCTGGGTTGCACGGTTGCACAGCGGAGCAGCTCGCTTCTCTTGGCTCGCTTTGCTAGCTAGTCTGCTAGAGAGCCGCCGGGCCGTGGTAGCCCCCGGAAAATAAATAAAGTTTGGCCATGGATCGTGTCGTGATAAGGCAACGTGCTCATAGGCAGGAGGGGCCTCCCTCTCTTGTAACTGTCCACACAGCTGTGTTGGGGCAGTTGACCCCCCGGAGGCCCTTCCTCTTAATTTCTTGCCCTCTTTTTCTTCTTTCCTTCCCATGCATGATATCTTCACTGACCTTGCTTTTTCCATGATCTTTCCTTAATCATTAATACTCTCGCCCATCTTCAAACAAATATATATATATATATATATATATATATATATATATATATATATATATATATATATATATATATGCCGCGCTTTGACATATAGTCTCTCCGTCCTAAAATAAACAACTTTCTGAAAAAAAATAGATAGATTAATAAGGACGCTAACAAAATAAACAAGGACGCTAACAAAAGATGCATGTACCCTGATCTACACTTTCCTTTCCCGGAGGATATCTCCTATATTTGGCAGTTATCATTTGCATGCACCCGTAATAATATAAGCTTTTGCGTAAAGAGGCAATGTCCAATGTTTTCATAGAATTTTATTATTTGAGACAAATTTTAAACCTCATAAAATTATTTATTTTGGGACAGAGAGAGTACTTAACAGTTTCTAAGAGAACCATATTGAAGGGAACCAGAGGTTGACCCCAAGGGGAGGCGAGGTGAGAGTGCGCATCCCCAATAGATTGCTGATCATATCTCCAATGCCAAAAAAGAATGCAATATAAGGGAATGTGGTTGCTCTGATAGATTACTCATCTTATCCCCAATACCAAAAAGTTTTAAGTTATTAATCAAAATCCACCCACCTCTCCCTCAAATGCAGGAGATACACACCAGCTCTCCCCTGTCCATTTTTATTGTATTGATAATCTGTTGGAGGAGGAGAAGAAAAAGCTACACTACCAATAATAGAAGATCGCATATATAGACTTTTAGGAGATGAGGGATAAGTAATCTGTCCGAGATGCTCTGAGAAGAATTAGATCGCAAAAAGAATTAACCTACAGCTCTAACATGAGACTACACCAGATAAACTAAAATTACCTAGTTAGATGTGCACTTAAATTTATCTAGTGTACTATGTGCAAGTCACTGGTACGTCATCAGTGTATGATCTGATGGATCTTTCTTCCCTTCACCGCATTATCCATTAATTGTTCACTGTGAACTTGATCCAATGCTTCTCTTGACATCATTTCTTCTTGGATCTCGCTCGTGCTTCTTCCATCTCTTGTTCCCTAGTATCCATTGGACCTATGTAAACAGGCCCTAAGAGATCTTAGCATAAACGTCAGTTCTATTGAGCATGTATATGGTTTCAGTCACCAAAACCATTAACACCTAGCAACCTAGCATGCACCTGGAGAAATTAAAGGTACCTAATAAAAAAAGATACCATCTTGCATGCATGCATGGCCCTGTGCGTACGGTTCTGTGTGTTTTCCTTCCGACGACGTTCACTTTGCTGTAGCATCATCAGTCTATTTCTTTTCCCCTGAAAACGACTTCACATCTGTATATACAGGTACGCACGACGTGCACGCAAGTCTTTGTTTTGCTTTGCTTTCCCTGGAAAAATCTGCAGGGGATTAACGACCTGGTAATCATCATCAGTCATCACCTAGGTGTGCTTCAGCATGAATCCCATGAATAACGGTCACAGTCACGAAGGCATGGAAATGAAAGTGCTGCACATCAGTTCCTTGGATGATCAAGGCAGCGCCGAGGTGTGTACGTAGCGTGCTAATACGTACTGTGAGCATGCATATGTTGGTAGTGATATCACATCGCTAGCTGTGTGCACTAATACAGAGACGGGCTTTACTCCCGGTGGGGAACCACCTCTAGTCCCGGTTCCCCACCCGGGAGTAAGCATCCGGGACTAAAGGGGGTCCTTTAGTCCCGGGTCAGGAACCGGGACTAAAGGGGGGTCCTTTAGTCCCGGTGAGTAACACCAACCGGGACTAAAGGTCCTCCCAGCTTTAAAAAAAATAATATCTCCCACCGCTGCGTCCCGTGAGATTCGAACCCAAGACCTCATGCATTGCCTCGCGCGTAGCTTACCACCCCACCTACACAACACATCTGACAATAGATGGGATGCTTCCCTTTTGAACTAACCCATCGGGGGACCTTTAGCCCCGGTTGGTGGCACCAACCGGGACTAAAGGGTCCTTTAGTCCGGGTTGGTGTTACCAACCGGGACTAAAGGGTCTACCTTTAGTCCCGGTTGGTAACACCAACCGGGACTAAAGGTTGATGACTTTTAGTCCCGGTTGGTGGCTCCAACCGGGAGTAAAGGTCCACCTTTAGTCCCGGTTGGTGTCTCCAACCGAGACTAAATGTCCCCTGCCACTGTGCCGAGCGCAGTAGCCGTTGGGCATGGACCTTTAGTCCCGGTTGGAGACACCAACCGGGACTAAAGGTCTCTCTAGTCCCGGGCGCAAAAAATACCGGGACTAAAGCCCATTTTAGCCTCGGATGAAAGGTCTGTTTTCTACTAGTGGTGAACACCTCTCCTTACATACAAGCAACCACCCGCGTACGTACAGGCAGCCTAAAGCAAAGTGTCCTTGCTTTTCTCGATCGCTGGACATCAAGATAAGATAGATACAACATACAAGATGAGTGTTCCCTCAAAAAACATCGATTATATTGGAGATTGGACACACAGGTAGACACGTGGATTAATTAATACCGTTCAATTCGCTATATTATATATAGATCATCCACTCTCTCTCTCTCTCTCTCTCGCTCGCTCGCTCGCTCGCTCGCTCGTGTGTGTGTGTGTGTGTAAATATCGCATCGTAGCCTTCATGTCATTCTACCTTGCGCACTTGTATGTACGTACGTTTGTGTCCTGGTGATGATTGATTCACTCATGGCTTGCGTACGTTGTAGCACTACAAGACAAATGATTTTACAATCACCACTTATTTGTTTAGAGGTTGTTCACTTAGCAAACTGTCTCTAAAAAGAGCTATGTCTCTTACGAATTGTTCCTGAAAATTTATTCTCGAATGCGGTTCTATTAAGCAAATTGTTCCTAGAAATGTAATCATTTTCAAGGAAAGGTTGCCTGAAAACAATCGTCCCAGAAATATTTCCAGGGGTTCACTTAAGTGGACCACTCCTGAAATAGGAGAATTTAGGTGCAGTAGGCTTAAATGAACCACCCTTGAAAATATCACTACTACAGAATCGACATTTGTCCCATCACTGCCGGTTTCTTTGGAACCGGCAGTGATAAGTCTTCACTGTCGGTTTTTATCTTGAAAATTAGAAAATGATTGGGGTCTCCCTGCATTGTTGCATTCACCAAATTGCTCAATGAAGGTCTTGGATTTTCAAGCATGGGCATGATCTTCTTGCTTTAAAGTCAGTAACAAGCATCCACTCATTTGAATTTGTAGCTTTACAATTGTTTTGATGGCTAGATTGTTTGATTCTCATGCTAGTTATTTCTCCATTTTAGAGAGCACTTTTCGATTGGATCTTGAGGAAGGCATTTAAATTATGGTGAATCCATCTTTGCCATGTCACCACAACAGTTTCGCTGACTTTACATTTGCAAACAACCTAAGCACGCAGGGGGCTATAAGAAAATACCAAACGTCCTTTATGAGCCCTCCTCTGGTCTTGCTACCCTCGTTCATGGACCATAACCTTTTGCCAAGTGAGTAACAATGCAGAAGAGACAAAGGCGGAGCTGGAACGAATTCAAATGGGGTGCGATTGTTTTATGGGTGTACGTATATGGTGAAAATTTGATTATAATTATTATTTTTGGTTTTAGCATGGGTGCGCCCACAACCCTACTCTCCACATAGCTCCGCCCCAAGAGAAGGGAAAGTGCAAGCAGGTAATATTTAGTTGTATGTTTTGTACTAGTGTAGTATCAGTTTCAAAACCCGCCTCTAGATTTCGTTTTCTACGGGTCGTTTTGGCAGCTGTAGCGTGCATCGGTGGCGTCCTTTCCGATGGAGATGCATATATGCATGCCCGGCCGTACGTACGCATGAGTTGTTTAACTGTTGCATGCTTATGTCGTAGCAGCTTACACTCACAAGCAAAAAGCAAAGCTCCTTTCGGTCGATCGTGACGTATGCGTTACCTGCAAGCGATGCAAACTTCTGACCCAGGGTGTTTGGATTCAGCGACTAGAGTTGAGGATGTGTCGGTGTTATATGGGGTGTTCGGATACTAATAAAAAAAATTATAGAATCCAACAGTAATCCCCGAGACGAATTTACTAAACCTAATTAATCCATCATTAGTACATGTGCTGTAGCATCACATTGTCAAATCATAGACTAATTAGGCTTAAAAATTCGTCTCACAAAACAGTCTCAATCTATGCATTTAGTTTCGTAATTAGTCTATATTTAATACTCCATACAAGTGTCAAACATCCGATAGAACAACGACTAAAGTTTAGGGAAGGAGCAAACATCCTCTTAATGTAGTGCGCATGCTTCGTAGTAATACCCTACACAAATAGTACGACGATATTGTTAGCATGCAATGTATATATACGAGCAG